GTGTAGTGAGGGGTCAGACGATAGATGTGTTGAACGTAAGTATTGACCAGTTTTTGGGTATACCTTATGCCGAACCACCCGTCGGGAGACTCCGGTTCGCCAAACCTGAACCCATCAAAACACCCAATAAGGTAAAGTATATCAATAATTTTTAAAACAATGTAAATTTAATATCTCATACAAAAACATTAGGGTATAATAGACGGGACAGTAGTGAATGGCAGGTCATGCCTACAGCCATACGTTCCGCCATTCTTTCAGTTTATGAAAAATCAAAGCGAAGATTGTTTGGTATTAAACATATGGACACCAAATGCGGGCAATAATAACACAAACAAATCACAGCTCAAACCCATCATGTTTTGGCTTCACGGCGGGGGTCTGTCTATGGGCTCGATATATGAGTTTCCCAATTATAACGGCACAGCACTGGCCACACATGACGTGATGGTTGTGACCGTAAACTACAGGTTAGGACCGTTTGGTTTCCTATACGCCGGCGACGAGACGGCGCCCGGAAACGCCGGCCTCTATGACCAACTGTTGGCACTCAAATGGGTATCAATTGATCGCTTATTTTAGTTATAATTTTTTAGTAATTAATGAATTAATGTATGAATTAATGGCAATAATAATAGGTTAGAGAAAATGCTGAACAGTTTGGCGGAGATATGGATCGGATCACCATTTTTGGTGAGAGCGCCGGCAGTCAGTCGGTGTCAGCGCTGGTATTGTCTCCGTTGGCCAAAGGGTTGTTCAAACGCGCCATACATGAGAGCGGAGTGTTGTTGACCAATAAAAAGCGGCCATACATTTCAAAGACGGAAGCGTTGGATCAGTTCAAAGTGATGGCCAATCATTTCAATTGTGGCGCCGATCGCAACCAATGGCTACAGTGTCTGCGAAATGTCACCGATTATGAAGAGCTCATCAAAACCTTTCCCATGAATACCTGTCCAGCGCTGGAGTCGACTGAGTTGTTGCCTGAGATAAATGCTCAAAATGCGTTCATAAAAAATAATTTCAAGTTGAAAGGTTTCAAGGTGTGTATTATTAGTAATAATTTATTACAACTATAAACTACACTAAAATATGTGCATGTTAATTATAAAATGTTCAGTTTAAGCAATGCTTTTTATTTAATTTATTAATCCAGTTCTCTATGCCAACCAATATGTGATACATAAGGCATAGTATAATAATGAAATAAAATCTATCATGCACAATTTACAGTTTACAATAAAAAGTAATACTAATTGTTAAGCTATATGATCTAGGTCTAGATATAATGGTAGGCGTGTCCCGAAACGAGGGTTCATTAGTATCGCGGGCGGCTTACAACTGGATGTTTGACCGGGATATCAACGAAACCGACTTCGATGTCCTGATGAATCAGCTGAACGACCGATTCAAAGACATAGACATACCGGCGGTAAAAGACTATTACCTGAAAGGTGTGAACACATCGGACTCCCAGTCCCTGAAACACACTTTCTATGATATGGTAGGCGACGTGTGGATCAATTGTCCCGCATATCTATATGCCAGACAATACGGTACAAAATCGCCGGATAGTCGCGTGTATTACTACGAACAGACCTATCAGAGTAAGAATATGATAAATGTGGGCTGCGTGGAGAGCACCATGGGCATTTGCCATATGGCGGACTTGCCATTTGTGTTTGGTGTGCCCGTTATGGATGACCGCAATTTTACGGATATTGATATCGGGTTTAGTAGACAAGTGATGCAGATGTGGACTAACTTCGCTAAAACAGGGTATCTATTTTGAAATTAAATTTGTGCTTTAACTAGATGATAAAATAAACTTGGTGTACCCTTTTTGTTTGATAGTAATCCTGATCCACAATGGCTTGAATTTTTGGATAAAAAGTCTAATACTTCGGCGACAAAAGTACTTGATTTGAATCCATTGACTGATAAACACATGTTTACTGATCTCTTCGCCGAAAGGTGTGAACACTTTTGGGGAAATTATTTCTTGTAATAAAATAAATAAATAAATATTTATTATTAGTTATATTTTATGTATAATAAATCGAGTGTTTAATTATGTAAAATAATGTGTTTAATTATTTTAATAATGTGATTGGCTATTGATTTTATCATTTGTCTGTTTAGTGATATACTGCACCTGAAAACATGGTAATAATATGTGGTAAACAGGTTTTGACTATCAATGAGAGCACGTGTTGTGAAGGATATTCGGTTAGAATTCGGCCTTTATGCCCCAATATTAGACTGGCCAGTTTTTGGTTTTGATCTGGACATTATATAATGCTTATAAAACTATACTTATTCTTAAAAAGTAAATTTATAACAAAATAATTAAATGTAGTAATTTCTGTTAAAATTTTAATGTGTACAGTAATCATTTGATGAGCAGTGGCAAAAGTAAGAATGGGCATTAACTATTTTAATGTAATATATACAACACTAATGTGTAATGTCTCTCATATAACACTAGTCTATTGTTTGGGGCCCTTTGAAAAAAATTTTCAAACAAATAACTCACAAATTAATTAAATTAAATCGATTGATTATTTTATCAAAATTTTTTGAACTAATATGTTTAGCTATATTGAGATATATGTATTTAGTTAGTAAATATATTTATTTATACCATTGGTCATCGATTGACCATATTTTGTATTATTTTGCCTGTTTTCAGAAAAATAAAATATGTTTTCTTCAAAAAATATATTCCCAGAATATATTCGACAAGGGAGGAAAGTGTCTAACAATATGTATATATGCTATAGATTTATATATAGTTTTATATGTATTGTATAATCCAGGTCAAAACAAAAAAGATGGTCAGTCTAATCTTGGGGCATAAAGGCCGAATTCTAACCCAAAACCCAATGTATTTATCAATCCATACGACACTACTTGTGATGGCCTTTGGAAACAATACTTCTTGTGAACAATTTGAGATATGATTAATTAATTTTAAACAAATAAAATAGTGTTATTTGAAATGCTGACTTTAATTTAAATNGCTAAACAATTGTCATATCATTACTAAATCTGATGATTATTTCCACTGTTTTTGGCCTAAATGTCAATATAAGACAACAACTACACAATGCTTAACTTTACACAAACTAATTCATTCAGAAATAAAACGATTTAAATGTGATTTTAATAATTGTAATAAAAGTTTACACAATCGGGAAATTTAAATCGACACAAAAATAGTATTCATTTAAAAGTGAGATTTATTTGTGATTTCAATGAATGCCACAAAAGTTTTGATTCAAAACAAAGTTTATTTCGACACAAAAGTTATGTTCATTTGAATGAAAGAAAATTCAAATGTAATGAAGAAAATTGTGGCAAAAAATTCAAAACAAAATCAATTCTAAATCAACACAAAAGCATTCATTCGGGAGAAAAATCTTTTGTTTGTGATTTGAATAATTGTTACAAAAGATTTAAACAATCGACGCATTTATATAATCACAAAACTAGATGTCATTTAAATATCCGTAAATTTAAATGCAATTCAAATGATTGCAAAAAATTATTTCACACAAAAACTGGATTAACACATCATATAAAATGCATTCATTTAAATGATAAGCCATTTAATTGTGTTGAACATAATTGTCACAAATCATATGCTATTAAAAAAACATTGGATATGCATATTATGCGAAATCACAAAATTAAATAATACAATTTATTATGGTAGATTTTTTATTTACTATTAATGAAATGATAAATTTAAAATACAAACAAATTAAATAAAAATGCTCAAAAAGTTTACATTTAATTGCAATTAAAAAATTTGTTGAAAACTTCAGACACAATATTTTATAAACATTTTATTTAAATTAAAGTCAGCATTTCAAATAACACTATTTTATTTGTTTAAAATTAATTAATCATATCTCAAATTGTTCACAAGAAGTATTGTTTCCAAAGGCCATCACAAGTAGTGTCGTATGGATTGATAAATACATTGGGTTTTGGGTTTGGGTTCAGGTTTTTCACATTAATTGTATTTCCACTCAATAATTGTGGCCACTCTTCGCTTACGGTTGGTTTGCTATTAAATATAATTATAATTAATTAAATGAAAGTCTCTCTCCAATCAATATTTACCCATATTTAGCAAAATTAGTCCACATTTTCATTAAGTCTGCACTAAATATAGCGTCAATATCGCTATAAGCGTCGGGTATTAAAAACGGCCAGCCACTCACAAACGCAGCCTCAGCACAATGACATATACCCATACCTTCCTTATCACAGCCCAATGTATGAGCAGTATACTTGTTTTGATATGTGACCTGGTAGAAATATACATTATGACCAGGTACGATTGTGGCCATTTGTTTAGCAAACAGATATGTCGGACATTTCATTATTAAGTCCCCAAACAATTGATAAAATGCTTTCTTGAGCTCAAGTGAACTGTTTTTGTTGACATTTTGTAGATAATAGTCGTCCACACGTTTCATATCAAATCCGTGGTAAAGAGCGTCTGTTTGTTTAGTGTAGTCAATAAAGTCATCTAAAGTTACCTTATCTTTAATTTGAAGGACTAAATACGATAACATTGAGCCCTCAGTGCTGGCAATGCCTGCCATTATATCGACATCTATTGAATTTTAAACAATTAAATTTTTAACTTTGAATATTAATATAATGTTTTATAATGTATATACATGTATAATAATGTTTTATATATGTATAATAAATCCAAACCTGAATTATATTTTTTGCTCACAAATGCCTTTTGCGCAGAAATGGGTAGGAATTCAGTTTCAAATACAGGATATGTTACGGGATTTGAGTATTTGTTAAACTCTTTTGCATCCAATCCTCGCAAACATTGCAACCAATCCTCACTTTCGCTGCATTTGTGATCTTTTGCTATCCGTTTGCCTAAAAGTATTGCCTCTGTTTTGTTGACCACATCCCTGGCCTTATTGAACATAAAGGCCCCGCTTTCCATAATAGCCCTCTTGAATAGGCCTTTGGATAGCGGGGAGAGTATGTGTGCGGACACCGACCAACTCCCGGCGCTCTCACCATGTTGACCACATCCCTGGCCTTATTGAACATAAAGGCCCCGCTTTCCATAATAGCCCTCTTGAATAGGCCTTTGGATAGCGGGGAGAGTATGTGTGCGGACACCGACCAACTCCCGGCGCTCTCACCCAATATTGTGATTTGATTCTTGTCTCCACCAAAATGTTCAGCATTTTCTATAAACTATTATCCATAAGATATTATGTCATTAATTGTATATTAATTTTTTTACCAAACATTAAAACAAACAATCAATTTATACCCATTTGAGAGCCAATAACTGGTCATAAAAGCCCACATTTCCGGGCGCGTCCTCCCGATCCCCGTATAGAAAGCCCAACTGTCCTAATCTATACTGTGTTGAGACATACACCACATCATGTACGGCCAACACATTAGTTATCGGTGGTGCAAATATTGAGCCCATTGTCAACGCTCCGCCGTGAATGTGAAACATAATAGGTTTGAGCTGTGATTTGTTTGTGTTATTATTGCCCGCATTTGGTGTCCATATGTTTAATACCAAACAGTCTTCACTTGTGGTCAGATTTGGGAAGAATGGCGACGGGCTTTGAATGCAAGCATTTTTCGGTTTTGTTGCATCGATAATGTCCTAACAATTTATATATTACACATTTATTAATGATTTTATTTAAAAATTTTATTGATATATTTTACCGGTTTTGGTGTTTTGATGGGTTCAGGTTTGGCGAACCGGAGTTTCCCGACGGGTGGTTCGGCATAAGGTATACCCAAAAACTCGTTAACACTTATGTTAAACACATTTATTGTCTGACCCCTCACTACACCCGATGTTGTTTTCACATCAATACACGCAATAAATTCAACGCAAATATTTAATACAACTAATAATGTAAAAAAGGATTTTATTTTTCTCCACATTATAACTATTTATTTAGCAATTATTTTCAATATGATTAATTAAAATATTATAAGTTGCTTAGCCATATATTGTCGCTTCTTTATATACTGTACATTTTCTGTTATATACAGTTACTTTCATCATAGTTAGATTATTACGACCTTTAATTAAAATACACTGCAAATAAAACACTTGAGTATATCATTAATAAGTCCACAAGTACACAAAAAATAGTACAATATACAGTGTAAGTAGTGTTGCCAACTCGTAAAAGTTGAATAGTGGACATTTACCTCAAAAGCACCCAAAAATAGTGGCAAAATAGTGGCAATAGTTTTTACTCAATATTTATGACTTATTTGTCCGGCTAGGTCAAATCAACTGCAAATTATAGATTTATACTTTAATACGTGGCAAAAATGACCAAGCGACTGAAATCATATTGGCTATTTTTCACATTTTTAACTAATACATTATTAATAACTAGATTTTATAAAAATGTCTTACACTATCAGTATTGAATTATAATTCTTAATACAAGTTTCTTAATTAGTATAATAAAATGGATTAATATTTCAAATTCGCTAAATATTTCCATGTAATTAATTTAATTTAATTGACTTAAAAAATTGCCACTATTTACATGTGCCTAAATATTATTAATATTTAAATTTTTATATTAATTTTTATTATTTGAAACACACTATTTTGTTGTCTATTTTTTACAAATCAAATGGCATTTTGTAAATCGTATAATTACAAATAAATTATTTTGTAATCCATAATTTGAGCATCGTTTAGTGGCGCGATTTTAAATATTACATGAATTCATATGCCATATTACTAAATTTCAAAATAATAATTGTGTTTTTCTAACTTTATATTAGGTATTTGCAGTATTTCTATAAAAATTTATTTAATTTTTCTGAAACTAAATAGTGGACATTTCTATGCCACTATTTGCCCTTCAGTTTATAGTGGCACATGCCCAAAATAGTGGCATTGCCACTTAAATAGTGGCGAGTTGGCAACACTAAGTGTAAGTGCATACCTGTATTGATCAGGGATGATCTGTACAATACAGCATTTTATCATATTGGTTTTACATAGTTATGTAGAACATTATAAAAGTTATGTCTAAAACGTGTGGTCTTTAATTAATAAACAAATATTTATAATACCACTCTTTTAATTACAATTATAGTGCAATATATTTAAATATTTGTGGTAGTTTTAACAGATTTGCTCCAAAACATACCAATGAGCTCGTACATGGTATAGAGTTTATAGTATAGACGTATATAATAGTTATCAAATAAGCCATCAAATGTACTTGAGTTAAAGGAAATGTTATTTTAAATGTCATATCTGTGTGTTCCCATATACTTTAATGCACTTAAATACTTTACACTAATCAATAACAATGAGGGGACAGTTTGTCCCCTAAATATATATTGTAATAACTAAAATAATGAGTTATTGACAATAATAATACAATATAAGCAAACATGTTTTATCATATACTAATGATCGATATATAATTGATATATCCATACAATATATCATATTTGATAACAAACTTTTATAATACAATAAGTTATTGTATTATAAAAGTTTGTTATCAAATATGATATATTGTATGGATATAATTAGTATATGACGAGTATACAGCGCGCGCATGCGCACTAAAAGTTTATCGGTGTATTAGCGTTAGTGCTATATAGTTGCTATATAGTTGGGGGAAAAAAAGCACTATATATTCGTCCTTTTCCCTACACAACATTTCGTTAGTTATTATGATAAAACATGTTTGCTTATATTGTATTAATAATAGTCTAAAAGACACTTTATAACATTACAAATATAATTAAATAACTAATGTTTTGTTAATTGTTCTCAAAAACAATTTCAAAGTGTTTGGGTATCAAAACGAGAACATTCTTATCGTTGACCGGCTCTAAGATGTCTGCCGTACGGTATCTGTCGGCCAGTCTTATCGGGTGATCGCGTGTTAACTGCAAGAGTCGGACCACGAATGCGAATATTGTGTTCATTGCCATCACTTCGCCGATACAGACACGACGGCCGGCGCCAAAGGGTAAGAATGCCGGCGAGCGTACTGTCACAAAATGACCATCGTTGTCTAGAAAACGAGCCGGATCAAATTGGTCCGGGTGCGACCAGTGTTTGTCATCCAGTAACATGTTGTATGAATGTTGCAATACGATTGTTTGGTTGGCAATTTGACAATCAGCTTGATCAAATAGCAAATAAATATATTAATTAATAACTTTATAATACATTAAAAATTGATGACTTTAAATGTTATCATGATAATTTTGTTTAGCTGTATAGTTAAGTACCTATTGTTGTGTCGGATAGAGTGACGCGCGGAGACCCGAGTGGAGCGGCGGTGCGATAGCGTAGGGTCTCTGCGATAAACGCGTTCACGCAATGCATTCGCGGTTTGTCTCGCATTGTGGCCACTCTATGGCCCAACACCTCATCGATCTCTACCATCAGCTTTTGGTGCCAGTCCTCAAAGTAGGCCACAAACAATACCATCCATTGAATTGTTGTGTATGTGG